GAAGTCTGTCTTCCACGCAAACACAGAGTGTACGCGCGCGTCTTCACCATCACGAGCGGCGAACACGAGCTAAGTCAGAGCATGTATTTCACATTGTGACAAAGCACTATTGGCTTATAAAGGTGTCCAAGTTAGTAGTCTGCAAATGAGTGGTTCGTAAAACAATAATGGAAAGGCTTTGAGTAATAGTAGAACAGGGGGGAAGGGGGGGAGGGGTAGGTAGGGCGAGTGGATGAGGAAAAGGCATCTACAGCCTTTATTTCAAGTCAGGCTCCTAAAGTGGTGCTCATTACAAGGCTTGTTTTTTTTTCCGTACCCACTTCCCCATCTCCGCCAAATTTCCTTCCACCGTTCTGGAGACAACGATCAGAAAGCGTTTTAAAAAGGACTCGTCTCCATTTCCTGCCTTTTTTTTTAATCATACATCGAAAAAAGTGATACTAAGATAAACAAAAAAAATAAGGAAACAGCGCATTCTATCTAGTGCCAGAGGCTTTTAACCTCATGCTGGTAATAGATTAAGTTTTTTAACTGTAAGAAAATACGTTCTCAGAAAAAATATTGATTATTCCACACAGGTCTAAATTTCTCGAACAACTCTTCTAATAGCTGAGCTGTACCGTCAATATAAAAATAAAAACAAAATGCGTTTCATCTGCCCTTTTTCAGCAATTCATTCTTCTTTCCCTTAACTGATTTGCAACAAAAGAATATCCACGTATCTCCAAAATAAACGCCAACGTTCACACAGCAAGTGCTATAAGTAGCATGGATCCAAAAAAGATGTTACTGGCTCCTCTAGACAACTCCATACGCCACTCCCGGTCTCATAAATTCTGATGAAGTCAAGATAACGTAATTATCACGTGTCAAACCTGATAAAGGCTTGCCGCTGGACAATAAGATCGCTCCCCTCTTTTCTCCTTTCAACGGTGACCAAGCGATTAGCGTGAATAATCATTTTAGCTCCTTTACCTCGTACATTTGGAGAGGACTGCTGTTTACACTCACTTCATGTTCAGAATGCAGAGAATGTTCACACCGGACATTCCCAAGTTTACTCGCCTGAAAAAACACAAGAGTCCATAAATTTGCGTTGCAATGGACTCAGAAGGGCTGAATTAAGTTAGAGCGCTTTTCAAGTGAGTTCCGTAAAACCAAAACCAGAGCCAATCAAAAGAAAAGAAAATACCTTTGATAGCCAATGCGAACTTTAATTAAAAACAACCAAACTGCCAAAAGCGCGGGAAAACGCGGGCAACTTCGTCGCGATTGATGTTAGCTTTAAATCCAATTGGTTGAGAAAGTGGCACGTGTTTTCTGGACCAATCACGTAATGAAATAAAGAAAACCCAAAACAATTCCAGATTAATTTCATTACTCAATTGAAAATGGCTTCACATGTAAGTAAAGTTGAGTCTAAAACCTCATGCGACAACTCATGCATGAACACATTCAATTCTGTTAGGTTCCCCAACAGTTTGCTAGTATGTATTTATTTACCTGACAAATGGAGGGACTATGAAACCATAGCGAATTCAGCAAAGGCTTAAAAAAAGAGAAAACATCAGTATTTAAACAGAAAATGGTCCAACTAACCCCAGCATTCCATACTGCTTAGTTTTCACGTGGTGAAGGAAGAAGACGATGGTGTGAAACAAGTTGTTCTGTCCCTGAAAGAAAAGCAATGAAGTTAATTAATATCGTAGTGTCCTTGTGTTTCAGCGCATTCGAATTTGGGATTGTTTGTCGCAAATCATGCATAATCGCAACGAACAACCAGAACGAAAGAAAATGTCACAAACAGACAATGAGTACTCAAACTTAACACAGAAAACTGCCTGAACGGACGTGACCAGGTCACAATTGGTGTAGGCTTGAATCTGATTGGGTGAGGTGGCACAAGTTTTAAGGACCAATCACAAGGCAAAGGAAAGCATAACTAACCTTATTCCGAATTATGCTTGATATTCGAATGATATTTTAGTATTTGGGTGTGGCTTTAGAACCCGTATGATGTAAGGCTAAATCTGAAGTAGAAATGAATCCACTGAAATCTCACAAAACAAACACTAGCCATCCAACTCCCAAGGTAACGAGTTAATTATCCTTACTGTTTGCTATACAGTGCGATAATTTTGAGAATTTTAATGTAAACTCGCACAATATCCCCTGTTTGGTGTTCTTCTCTCTCCTAATCAACTGTCTGCTTGAATCACTGTAAGGGAAAATTTCTCCATAGTCCCTTATAGGAAGAGAGAGTTAACCCTTTACCTTCAATGTGTGACTAAGAGAGAATTTCTCCTTACAATATCAATACAATATCAAGCATAGAAGTGATGAGAATAGAGTAAAATACAATCAGGAGATTATTACTTGATCCAATACCAAATTCTCCAAACTAACATCTCAAGAACTGTATGGCAGACAGTAAGGAGAATTACTAACGAGATCTTGGGAGTTAGAGGGTTAAGCACCATTTGTATGGACAACATACCTTGGGCATATCGTAGACTTCATCTTCAATGATAACCTAAGAAAAAGACAAAAGAAAGTTTTAAAATATTAATAACTTAGTTAAAGTTTAGCTAATGAATCAGTAATAATCTCGTTTTCACTGCTTTTAACAAAGTTTGATTGAGACCTTTACTGTGATCGGCCGCATGATAATTTGATGGATCACTACGTTATGGTAATCAGTTGTAAATGTTCTCATCAGCTCACGGAAGTAGCGCGATCTATGTTCACATACTCGATGTACAGGGAGGTTTAAAAGCGAGGGGGGAGGGGAGGGGAGGGGG